AGCTCCCAGCTCCTGCAGCAGCCGCTCCTGCAGCCTGTGCCCCTCCCCCTCCACCCAGCAGCCTGGACTGTCACCACAGATTAATGGTCTCCCCTGCACCCCCGCCCCGCCAGGCCTGTGCTGAGCCAGCCAGAGTCAGACAGAGACACCCAGAGATGGAGAGATGCCCAGTGACGGGCAGGGCACCGTACACAGACACATAAAGATGCAAACACACAACTCACAACACGCAGGCACATGCCACTGTCACAGGAACAAGGGACATGCCAGGGACCCAGGTGGGGACAGAGACCAGGAACCAGTAGGAAGAGGGGGAGGCTTCCAGATAAGGGCCCAGGATGATGGGGGGATGTTCTAATGTCAAGGCCAAGGGGATGGAGACCTGGCAAGGACCCAGAGCGTCAAGAGGCAGCAGGAACAGGTCTAGGACACTGGCCAAGGAGGCTAGAGCAGGGCAGGTCCCTCACATAGGCCAACCAGGCAGCCGCTGTGCCCAAGGACAGAAGGGGCAGCTGGGGACAGGGTCCCCTGCATCCTGGGCTCCTCTCTCACTCGCTGCAGGGACTCTACTCCTGGCCCTCCAGGACTGGCCCAGGACCACCCTGCTTCCAGGAGCAGCCAGGCTGGCCCCCACAATGGGTCACATTAGCCAATGCCCTGAGGCTGGTAGTTTTCTCTGGCCTGGGATTCAGGGACTTGATCCCTCCAAATTTTTACACCCACAGCCCCACCCCACCCCATAAGGGAAGGAAACTGCTCTCTTGTGCTGTTGGGACAAGGCAGGTACCTCCAGGGTCCCCTCATGTGGCCAGCCACCATCTGCCTTACCTCAGCCCGGCAGAATCAGGGCCCTCCTGACCTTGACCTCTGAGGCCCCTTCCAGTTGGAAGCCTCCTCCTGTTGGCTTCTCCCACCCACCCTGGCTCCCTCATGTCCCCAACCTCAAGTGTCCCGTCCTTATACTGTATGTTCCAGCCACACACCCCATCAGCCTATCTGTGTCTGCCTACCCCAGGCCACCTCCCCTCCAATCTCCCACTCACCAAGACCTCATCTCCCCACCACCACCAGCAGGTCCTCACGACTAGGCCCCCACCCCCACCCCTGACCATAGCCTGCTCCCCCTCCTTCCCCTAGAAGCTCCCCGAAGTGAGGAGGAGCCAGGCAACTGGGCACCTACCTGGGTGACCTTCTCAGTGACATTGTGGGTCCGCTCCTTTATCTTGGGTGCTATGATCTCCCGATCACTGGTGGGTGAGGCCAAGAAGGGGTCACCCTTGAGGTCCACAAAATTGAGGGTGATTTGAGGGATCTTGCTAATGGTGCGGTAGCGCACGAGGTCTGAGTCTGAGGTGGAGTTTAGCAGGCCGCTGCGTAGGGGGTGCATGGCCCCTGGGGTGGAGAGACAAAGTGGGGTCAGGTGGGCAGGACAGGGGTCAGAGGGTAACCAGACCCTCATTACGAAGCTAGGGTGGAGCCTGGGCCCTGGCTAGCCAGCATGGTCAGCTCAGGAGACCTGCAGTCATAGAAACCAGCAAGAACCAACCCCTCCTCATTTTATGGAAGCAGGGCACAGTGCACCTAGGAGATGTGTGCCTGTTCAGTGGGCACTGTGGCTGCAGAGGCCGGGTGGTGTCAGGAGCCCCATTGGCCTCTCTTCCCCTTCCCAGTCCCCATGGTCGTCCCCCTGCTCCAGAACGTCCTAAGACAGCTGGCTGGCTCCATGAGCCAGCAAGAGCTCTGTGAGTGGAAGAATGTAATGGGATGAATGGACATTTAATAGAGTAAAAGGCCACTTAATGAGATTAAATAAGTGCTTAATAGGATTTCCACCTCCCAGGCTCCCAGGCCCCAAGGACATGGGGGAGGGGAGGAGGGCAAGAACCTGGTACCAGGCAAGTCTGGTGGGGCCAGGGCAAGGCAGTTGGCTGGGCATGGGCCCTCACCAGTGCTAGCATGGCGTGGTGGTGGGGGCAGTACCCCAGCACGCATGGCCTCGATGTCATCAGCTGAAGAGGCCCGTCGCACGCTGGCGCAGCTCTCCCTGGAGCGTGTCCGGGCCAGGCTGCAACTGGAGCCCGAGGCGTCAGGGTTGAGGCTGTGTGCCCTGGGCGAGGTGTGTGGAGGTCCTGGCACACTGGTGGGCGGCGAGCCTGGGGCCACCAGCGCACGCCGCTCCTCAGCCAGCCCCGCCACATGGTTGTCCAAGGCTGAAACCTCGTCCAGGGCCAGCGACTCACTGCTGGGTGCCGCAGGCGTCAGGTCCACGTCCACCACCACAGCCCCTGGGGCACCCGTGCCACCTGTGCCTCCCGGCCGCACCGATGACGACTCCCTGGCAGTCAAGGCCAACAGCGCAGGCAGCTTCAGCCGGAAGGTCTTGGCACGGCCTGTGGGAAGAGGGACCCCAGTGGTGTGAGGACTGCAGCTGCCCCAGAGAGCACAAGAGCTGGAGTCCTGGCCAAGGGGAGCCGGGGACCATGACAGGGCCAGCCTCAATCCCATGCACAGAACTCAGTTCCCAGAGACCAGGCCATCTTACTGAAGCCTAATCCTAATCAAGTCCCAGTTTCAGCCAAACTTCAGGCAGGCTCCATAAGTCCTCCCTGATTCCCACAACTGCAATGCTGGGTACCACCATCTCCACTTTGTTTTTAAATTTGTTTTTGTTTTTTGAGACTAGGTCTCACTATGTAGTTCGGGCTCACCTCGAACTCACTATGGAATGAGGGCTGGCCTCAAACTCATAGTAATCTTCCTGCCTCAGCCTCCCAAGTGCTGAGATCACAGGTGTGTGCCACCACACCTGACCTATCATCTCCATTTTAGACAAGAGGGAGCCCAGATGCCTTGGTGACCTGCTGAGGTCACACAATCAGTGCTGGGCCTGCGCCTGAGGGGGAATGATGCTCCTGGCTCACTCCCATTCCCTGACACCTGGCAGCTGGCATCCATAAGACCAGTGTCATTAACATCATTTCAGAGCTTGAGAAACCAAGGGGTGAATGCTTTTGTCCTGGGAAAATTAAACCATAGAAGCCATGGGGGGAGTTCTGAGCCCTTGGGTCAAGAAGAGGTGAGGCCAGAGGGAGCCTCCCAAACATCCTCTTCTCCACTAGCCAAGGCCACTCTGGGGACTTGGCCAGGTGAGGATCAGGGACCAGAGGGCAAGAGCTCCATTGGTGGTGGGGGTGGTGTCTGAGATCACAAGACAGAGCTTTCCAACAAGCAGAGAAAGCTGCTGCTACCCAGGGGCCAGAGCCATTAGGCTGCTTAAGAAAGGCTGAAGGAGCACTCCTCAGGAGGACTGGGCAGGCTCCCTGCCCCAAGGATTTCTGATTCTGGGCCCTATTCCTCCACCCGTCTGCCCATCCCTGGCAGCTGCACTTACCAGGTACCAGCCAGCTGGTGGGGGGGCCCCGGTGATTGGTGTCTTGAGCCGGGGACCCCACTAAGTCCTTCTCCATCACCACCTCAAAGTTGAGGATGAACATGATGACAGCTCCATCCTCGTTTTTCACGGGCACCACATCCACCAGACATAGGAAGCAGCTCCCTGCAGTGAGGAGGACACAGCCATGATGGCATCAGTGCCCCCAGGGTGCAGGCTACACAACTGGCCTGGATAGAGCCCCAAGCCCAAAAGGGCCCAGTCACTTCTGCCTCCCCTCTGAACCCCCACCACAATTCCCCACCTGACCCCACCCCCGGCCACATGCTTGCCAGTCTACGTCCTGTCCCTTACTCTGCTCCAGACTGTCACCTGCCTTCCTCTCTCTGCCTGCCCCATTTTTCTAGCCCTCTTTCCCTATGTGCTGTCCTCTCACTGGCTTATGATCCTTCTTTCTTTGTGTTCTCATCTGTTTCCCAGTCCTTTGTTTTTCCCTCATTCAAAGTAGTATAGCCCCATGTTCAAGCCTATAGCTGTAATCCCAGCATACAGGAGGCTGAGGCAGGAGAACTGCCACAAGTTGCAGGCCAGCCTGGGCTCCACAGTGAGTTCAAGACCAGCCTGAACTACATAGTGAGACCTCATCTCAAAAAAAGAAAGAAAGAAAGAAAAGAAAAACCCACAGGCTCCACAGGCCCTGAATCTCTGGGCTCAGATCTCTCCTCTACTGTTTATTGATGTATGTGTTGCTTCTAACTTATTTAACACCTCGCACCTCATTTTCCTCACCTACAAAATGGGAATTAAAATAATTCATTTCCCAGGAACCGAAAAGATTAAATAAACGAACACATGCTAAGCACTTGGGGCAAGGCCTGGCATGTCCTGAGCACTATCGCCTGGCCATGGCTATCCGTATCTGCCTCTGTTCTCTGAAGATTTGTTCTCCGCCATGGTGTTGGTCCCAATAAGATAAGTACAAAAGTTGAAAGAAAGAGTTTTGAAACCTTACAGCAACTTGGCATTGCCACAGCAGCCACGCATGCAATTGCATTTCATAGAAGCAAAGGTCTGTGACATAGTAGATATAAAGAAAACTGATCCTTCACTGAAGTCCTGCTTCTAGATCTTTCATCTGGCTCTTCTTGTCTTCTTCTCTGTCCTTGATTTTCTCCCTCCCAGTCTCTCTCTGTCCCCCAGAGCCCTCCTACCAGGCCAGATCAGCTCGCTGGCTCTCCTCAGCTCCTTGTCAAACACCCCCCACCCAAGCTAATTTCTAAAAGAGGCTATTTCAGGTCAAGCTCAGTCCATCCAAGGCCCAGCTCAGAGCCCTGCCCACAGGAAGTCACCCTTGGTGAATCAGGAGGGCAGAAAGAGATCCTGCTCCTCCTCCATGGGACCCAGGC